CGCGGAGAGGGGGTGGTGCCTGGCAGCCCCCAGGATGTCTGGGAATGTATAAAGCCGGTGGCCGGCGGGCTCAGGACCAAGTGGGACCAAAACGTGAAGGACTTTGAGGTCATCGAAGCCGTCAGTGATGTAAGTTCCTTCAAACCCTTCCGTTAAAACCGTACAGCCTCTCTGGATCAGACTGACAGTACTGGGATTGGGGGTCTTTTTTTCTTGCTTTCTTTTTTGTGAATTGCTTATATTCTCTGAACAATGGCTTATCTTTCTGAAATGAATTACTAATGCATTCTAGGTTAAATACTGCGTACTTAAAAATATGTAAATTTATAACATTAAAGATTGCAGTGCTACGTTTCTGTTCATGCTGCAGATGAAGCAAAGTATCATTTTTTTAAGCAAGCTATTTGTGAGGGAAGAGGAGGCATAGAGAATACGTAGACTTGGCTGAGCAGTGAATCACTCATGTCATCATCATCGGCCGTTAATTCCAGCCCCATCTTTCACCATGGCAGCAAGCGATGCTCTGCACGGCACGTGTCACACTCTGCCTTTAACTGGCTGACTGACCTACCTTGGGACCCCAGCGCCTTGCCTCAGTATCTCTGCCATTAAAGTGGAGATGCTGCACTTCGAGCATTACAGATGGAAAAGGCTATGCATGAGCAGTATTTTCTGCCACTGAGGTTATACAGTCTAAATTCCAGATTATTTTTTTATTATTATGTGTGTCAGAACCTTAAAAGAGCATTGGCTTTAGATCCCTAAATCTGAAGGGGGTGTAGGTGCTTGGAGGCAGGCAGGGTCCTAATGCAACCAGTCCCAGGAATGTTCATGGACGTCCTGGAAAGCCATTTTTTCTTGGGGGAACCTTAGAGGCATTTAGTATTAATTATAAACTTAAACTTTAGAAATGCTGCAATCTGCCACTTGTGGTTCATAGACTTTATCAGATTTGCTAGCACTTTGCTCTGTGAGAGAAACCTCTGTTTTGGAGGGCCTGTCACCACAGATCCTCCATAGAAGGGAGTGGTAACACTAAGGTTTCTGCAGTATAACAAATCTGGGTATCAAGTTGTATTCCATCTAATGTGCTACTTCCTGGAAAAAAAGAAGCATTTTAACTGTCTTGTGAGCACAGATATGCCAGCTTTGCTTTTCAGCATCCCTTGTGGTATCTGTAGTTAAACAACCTGGAAGCAATCAATGTGTTCTCACTGTTTCTCTCCATTAAACTGTCCTTCATCAACACACTGTAGTGCCTTTTGATTGTGCTAATTTGTATTTTGTTCAACAAAGAGTGTAACAGAACTCCATGACACAGTTAATAAAGCATAACTGAAAGAGAAGCAGAAAGCGCAGGGATTTTTCTGCTGTACTTTTGAAAGTATCGTCCGACATTCCTCTGTTTTATGATTTTCAGACTGTCTCTGTGTGCAGAACCACAACACCTTCAGCTTTCATGAGGATTATTTCACCAAGAGAGTTTGTGGATGTGGTACTGATAAGGCAATATGAAGATGGGACAATGCTATCTGCTGGTAAGATGATTGTGTTGTAAACATGTTCATATTGTGCTAAGAGATAACCAGTAGCTACTGGAAATAAAGTAAAAAGTAGTTAACATGCTGTTTAGTAGCTGTTGATTTGATCTTGATCAGAAGATAAAATATTGTCTTTTTACATTGTTGTCCTCAGACTTTATAAGTCACGTCAGTGTTTCAATAACGATATTGCTGGCCTGTGTTTTCTTCCCTTGCTATGCTTTTGAGATTGAATAAGTGTTTCATTTACTTTTAAGTTCTGGGGAGGTTTTGTGTATGTTTTTGTTGTTTTTTAAGAATTTACGGAAGTTTCTAAAAGGAGTAATGTTTAAGCTAAATCCTGTTTTAACATTTTCTTCAATGCCTCTAGGTTTTGGTGAAACCATTGAATAAATGTACCACTCCTGTATGTGGAAATAATTGTTTTCATTAAACCAAATAGTGCTGATTTTTAAGGGATTTTTACCTGTCACAAGTCAGTGCTTTTATTGCCCCACTGTTCAGCTGTCCTGTTTTTCCATCCTGTTCAGGAAT